CGACTTCGTTATAAAAGACACACAAGAGAAGTTGAGAATATTCATAAAAATACAATCGAAAAAGAGTAAGTTTAAATAAAAATATTTTTTGTTTATTTTTTTTACTTGTTTTCTTTCATCAAATGAAGGATTGATCAATTGTGTTGTTGATGTTTTTCTTTCTGAATTAGCTGTTGTTCGTTCAAGATCTGTATTACATAAAAATGTTCCATATAGACCAGTAAACACATGTGCAGCTAATTCACGCTAAAAACAAAAAAAGATTTTTCGATTAAAAAGAAAATCTTTTCTAATCTTACAAGAAATATTTCATTGAATTGAAATGCAGCTTGATTTTGCATCAATAATTGATAGATACAATCCAACCATTGAAGAAAAACAAGATCACAATCATTTGATCCATTTGCATCAACATTATGATCACAATGATCACCAAATTTATGTTCAAATTGAATCCATTCACGTTCCACTAATATTTGAAAACCACTTATTGTTCGATAATGTGAATCAAGCATTATTTCAGCTAATGTTATTATTTGTGATGTACGACCTTGACCATTTGAACAATGTACAAGCACAGATCGATTATCTTTATCAACATTAACAACAACACGAAATGCTACATTCATTAATGCTGATAAATTGTATAACCATTGTGTTGATGCTAATCTTAAAAGCGAACTAGAAAAAAAATAATTTTGATTTTTGAAATATTAGTTTTTTTTTTTTTATATTAAACTTACTCTTCGGATTGTGTTACATTTATAGCCCGTAACATTCGTACATTGCTACTTATAGCATGAATATCTGGTAAATTCATAAATTTAACATCACAATCTGTATAATATTTAACACAATTTTCAATAGCAGCATCACGACTTGCTGCATGAAGAATTAATAAACCACTTGAACTTGTTTCACCTTTAAATATAAAACTTTTTTTTGAAAATGTGAATTTTTTTTTGGTGAAAGATTATTTACCATGAATAAAATTTGTTGTTAATGTACCATTACATGCATTAATAATAGCTTGAATCATTTTTTCATCTTCTTTTGAACGCCTAAATGGCCAACCGACTTCGGGTTGACCTGCTCGAACAATAATTGCACCATTACTATGTCTAAATTAAATAAGATTTTCGATAAAAAAAAATGAACTACAATTTGACAGGAAATTTTTTTTTGACTTTGATCCTGTACTATCTATCCTTCTCATATTAAACAATATAATAAAACAAATTATGTTTCATATTGTTATACTGTTTAATCTCATCTGAGAGTGTAATATTTTCTCTTTCGATAGGATAATTCAAAACTTTGAGGTTGATATTTATAATAAATTTTACCTCCAAACAATTGTTGGAAATTGTTTATATAATCTAAATTTAGCTGCTTCTATAATTTCTTCATTACCCAGGTGAAACAAGCCCGGTCGTAAACGGCCGTTTTTGATCGTATTTGACCCGTTTGGTATGCGCCGTATTACGGCCGTATATCGCCGTGTCGTAAACGATCGAATACGGGATTTTCCAAGCGTTTTTCACCGTTTCTAATCGTATACGGCACGGTGATATACGGTCATATTACGGCGCATACCAAACGGGTCAAATACGGGCAGTTTACGGCCGCATCCTTATCATTAACGGTCGTTTACGACCCGCTCACGGTCATCGTAATGCTGGACCTGGGTAGTTATAGTAGATGGTACAACACAATATTTTGGATAACTAGAACATAATTCATAATTTTGATTAATATCAGTTAAACGCCATGGATGCGTATCTAATTGTAAACGTATTAATTCATCATTTAAATGATCATGATATAAATGTTCATCTTTTCGTATGTCTAATTCAAATTTAATTGTAAATAAATCACTTAAACATTTTGGAACAGCAATCATGCCATTTAATTTTCTCAACCAATAACGACGTTGATTTTCTGTAAAAAATTTTAAACGAAATGAACGTATATGTTTACAATGTATATATAAATAAATTTCATCTTTTATATCAATTTTATCAATTGAATCAATTGAACGTATTGGACAATCTATAGATGAATTAGTTGGTTTTGTTGTACAGTAAAACCTCTCTTAAGTGAACACTGTTGGGACTTTTTGAAAAGTGTTCATTTTGAGAGGTGTTCACCTATGGGAGATGTCATGCATTTTACTTCAAAACGAAGTAAAGATTCAGAAACGGACCTTCTCTACCAGTTCTGACGTATTTAGAGACCATTTTCTCTCCTGTTCGTCTTCTTTCACTTAAATTTATTTGAATCGAACAACTTTTCAACAAAACAAAAAACTTAGTTCTATTTGAAAAAGTTCTCTATAGTTGTTTGTTTTTGTTTTTTTGAATCAATATAAACATCAATTAATTTTGATTCTAATTCACTAATTAATTTATGTAATTGTAGATATTGTGTTGTTGCTAATAAACGAAGCTTTTGTGTCATTTCCATTGCTTCTGTTATTTTTGGTGGTATTTCTGTAGATACAGCATTACTATCATCATCATCTTGCTCATTTACATCACATACTAAAATATTTTCACAGCTATCGAACCATTCATAAACTTGTTGATCAAGTTTTACTGAATCAAAACTTTTGAATTTTCGTTTAACATTTTGATTCTGATTGGTTTCATAATCATGTAAATATTCTTCTTTTCGTTTTAATATATTAGATACAGAACGAAGTGAAATATTATATCTTTCAGCTAATGTACGCTGTGATAAACCATTACCACCACTGCTATCATTAATTAATTGAATTTTTTTTTAATGTAAGATGATGTCGAGATGTTATTGTTCGCTTGATATGTACAGTTGTGAAAAAAACAGTAAATAGTCAATTTTAGTGCACTAGTCGACAATAATAGAGTGGAGAGAGAGAAAAAAATTCACGTGTGTTCATGTAAGAGAGGTTATAACAGCAATCGGGACTATGAAAAGCGCGTTCAAATTCAGAGTAGTGGAGGTGTTCACCTATGGGAGACGTATTTTCAGCAAAAATCGCTCCGTGGGACCGAACCCCTGTTCAAAATCAGAGGTGTTCACCTATGAGAGGTGTTCACTATAGAGGTTTTACTGTAGATATAAATAAACGATATGTTGTTAAATGAATTATATCATCAACTAAACGTTCAGGTTTAATATAAGCTTCACCAGCTAATAAAGTAAATGGTATATCCATTTGATGATGTTGTACAAAGTGATGTAGTAGTACGGACGTTCATCCGACAAAATAGCTCAAATAAATGAAACAATAGCAAATGCTCCATGATTGATTCTTTGATTTTTGAGAGAAGCTAGATATAGCTTTGATATCAGTAGATGCAGAAAATTATTCTCTATCGAACTACATTCTTGGTTTTCGAAAAAAAAGAGACAAGTCAAAAATAGAGGGTGCTATTATATGGTGTCAATACAATTGCTTTAACTAAATATCATTAAATACTTTTAGATCACTCCTTTAAAATTTCTCTCTTGAAAGTTGTTTTGAAATATAAATTCAACCAAAATTTCATTTTACTAACCAAAAAGGTCAATATATCAAGTGCAAATAACTTTGTGAGATAATGAAAATCTTTTTTCCAATAAAAATTACATTAATTGACAACAAAAAAGTTTTATTTCAGAAAAAAAATATATCAGACTTGTTGAAAAATTACATCGGAAAAGTTAGCACCATATTCGACTTTTTTTGTTCGGATTCGCTATATTAGTTGGGTTATTTCTAAAACCACTTGGGTTAGGTGCAGAATTAAATTCTGCGTCCAACGGCACCAGTTTGGAAGGGATTGTCAGCAAAAAATACCACCTTTCCCTCAAAATACTGATTTTTTCAGATAATTTCTAAGGTAGGGTGTGGGTGCCAATCTCTCTTTAACCACACACCCCATACTTACACCCACACTCGAAATTAATTTTGCTTTTCCTGTTTCTTTCACAGTTCATATGTCAAGAGAAGAAACAACATATTATTAGTGTGTGGTGTAGGAGAACAAATGTATTCGATAGAAAAAATATACTTTGACTAAATTGTTAAACGTATTTATTTATCTTAGTTTTAATGTTTGAACTCGTTTTAACGAGATTATTAGTGTCAGTTTGTTTCATATGAAAACATTTTTTTTTTCTAACATCTTTTCTTCTGGTCATCAGAATGTTAACTAGTTAAACATATTGTCTTTTTCTAACATTTTTGTATCTGGTTCAACAGAATAGGAATAAAATATAGTCGTTGAATATGTTTGTAAAATCAACTATGCTTTTACAGTGAAAGATTTGCTAACTTTTGGCACACTGTCTCATCTCGATTAGACTTAATCATTATTCCGTTTTAAAGGAGAATATTGAATTTAATTTTCAACTAAATTACAATGACTAACCAAATTAACAAGATAAGACGACAAAAAAAACGGATAAGATACTAAACATTGATATTGTGTTTTGAATCTGATGATCAGATACGCTGTTAGAATACGTTACATTTGTACGAGATCTCTATCGTGAGACCAATGAATAGAAGATCTTCAGTCAACAGCAATATGAAATATGTGTACAGAATAGTATGAATACTCGCACTATGTTTAGACGGCGAGTCTATTCACGATTAAAGTTGTGCTTGATTGGAAGTTGTGCATGCACACGTATAAACGTCCTTTTTCATTAATCATGATTAGTAATGCATGCATGCACAACTTGTTTCGTCTAAATGTGTATGCATGCATAATCCAGTAATCAAGCATTCGATTGAAGTACAAAAGGGAAGACTGCGTAGTGTATTGATCATTCTAATAAATACATCCTCTCACTGTCTACTCATTTATGAAGCGACACAAGTCAATTGTCTCACAAGAGTACAGTAGCAGACTCATTTCCGAATCTAACCAAACAGTTCGTTTATTGCCAATAGTAGTCGTGTTATTGTTGCTAGTCATTTTGATATTGTTCTTATCCAAAAACAATTTCATATTTAAAAAAATCTGAAAAAATCTATTTAAATCTTTCAATTGCAGTTATTTAACGAGGTAGACGACAATTGTCTATAACAGCTAAAAATCGAATAAATGAGACAAAAATGTTCTTTTCACAAAAATTCCTTTAAGAAAGAGCGAGAGTTATTGTTTGAAATAAAAGATTCCAGTTCAATCAGATCATGAGCCTTTGTTTTGATTGCATATACTATGAGCGAAGCGTTTAGACGGCAATCGCGTACACATATGCATGCATAGTGCTATGTATGCACAGAGTTGTGCACGTTTAATACATGCATAATTTTAATCATGCACAAATCGTTATTCATGATTAAGCGCGGTTTAGACGACGAGTTATGCATGCATAGCAGTGCATGATCGTCTTAATCATGCATAAGAGCGCCGTATAAACATAGTGTCAGATTCTGTTCGGTTATAGTTTGCATGACATATCTCATATTTAAAAAAAAATCCCTCAATTGAAAAATTCCTAAATCAAAATAACTATCTGGTCACCAGAACTGACGATAACTGTTTAATTGTTCACAAATGTGGACATAATGTAGAAATGAATCTGAGAACCAGAATATGTAGTAAATGATAACCAACCGATATAATCGGTATATAGACAACTACAAAGAATTTTACGCAGATGTTCTAACAAGAATGGTGACAGTTTGTCTTTCTCCTTATCCTAAACATGATGTTAGCCAAAAATGTTTCATAGTTTAATTTAGAAACTTTTCGTGTACTTTAACCAAATGTCTTGCGTAGTTCATCTTTTTTTTTTTGCTTTTCTAATAAAAGATCATGTAATTCAAAACATGTACAATTTTAACCCACAGATTGTTAATGTTTAAATGTAAGGTAATTTTTTTTTGAGTATAAAGATGTATGGGGGCACTTGTAGTTTACATCTTGAGGATGGAAATATGAGATCAAGATAGTTCTCATATACTCACACCCAACCCATTCTCAGATGAACAGAAGTGAAGTCTATAAAACATAAAAAACCGAACTTTGGACAGACTCGTGTTAAAAACAATCCGTCCATGTGGTTTGTCTTAAGAACGATTGTAGCATCATTTATTAAAGCCTTTCACATTTTGAGCTGTATCTCTCTCCTTGGCTCTATTTATTTATCTTCTATTTAACCATTCCTATTGAGATCATCAGATGCAATTAGATGCAAGATATTAGCCATGTGAGATAATGAATTTTCTCTTTGTGATAACCAAATTGTGTGAATGAAAAAAAGACTATTGTTTTTTTTCTTACAAAATAAATGGTATAGATATAACAAAAAAAAAAAAAAGAAATCAATATGTGAAATGTTCCTGTTACAGAGATATCAAAGCCACAAATAGACAACATTGAAATTATTACATGTGTAGTAAAAATTTTGTAAGTTCGTCTTTTGTTTAATCCATTCACGTGTTATAAGTTGTTCATTATTGATCTTGAATGGTTGGCTAATGTGTATTTGTCTTAATGTCATCTTCATTCTATTAAGAAGTTGTGCTAGATTAGGAACAGATGATGAATGAATGTCAAGTCGTTCGATATGAGTAAATGAATGACAAAGTGCATCGACATCATTTGAAGATAATACATGAAATTTAGGATTGAACGCAATTTCAATCTTTAGATCAACAATATGTGGCCATTGGTGAAAAAAAAAACTCTTGAGATTAATACTAGACAGATCGAGTCGACGCAAACAAGGTAAACTGTGTAAAAATTCGATGTGTTTATAAGGTGAATTGATATTCCATTCGAAATCAAAGGTACATGTAGTAAGTTGTGATGTATCAAGATCGATCATGAGATCTTTGAGTGTTGTGGGAAGTGTAATAGTAACTTGTGACAAGTATAATTCTTTGATACTAATGTTCCGATGTAATAGTCTACATTTCAAAAACTTATCATCAACTATTAAGCAATCAAGATTAGAATCTGATTTTCGTTTGAATGCAGTTGATTCTGATACTATCGTTCGAATCCTCTCCGGTGTTGGATACTTCAGAAAATGAGATGTACTTGAATAGTGCATTAAACATTCCTTAATGCTAAAGCTTCGATCATATGTAACAAACCATTTTTTCTCTTCGAGCCAAAATTTCGTGCGAAATGAATCGAGATTGAGTGGTTGTTGTTCGAAGACGTTAGAATTGAATTCCAATTCAAATTCGAAATGTTCGATGTGTTGTAATAATTGTGCCCAAGCATAACCATCAGCCATATCATTATTCAGACGGCTAGCAATAATTTTGAAATAGGTGAGTCGTGGAAATAACGAAAGTAAAATTGTCATTTGTATCCAAGTAATAGACGACAATGCAATCCATAATCGTTCCAAATATAATAGACGGGGATAACTTCTATCTAATTCCAAATCGGGAATGACGAATCCAGCTTCAAGAGTGTGAAGCATAGGTGCAACAGCTAGAAGACTATATAAATTGATTATGATATATTCTAGGTGGAAATATTGAACAGAAGATGATATAACTGAATTTGGAGATCGAATTTCCACATTACCACTACCAAAGCCAAACATTTCAGCAGAGAGACATTTGAGTAATGGTGAAAGGAAAAGTAATTCACTAAGAGTAGCCGATGTTACCGATAAAGATGATACCGATTCAGAATAGAACAAGTGAATGGAGAGCGTCATGATCAGTGGTGGAAGTCGAGTTTTGATCAAACACCATGTATCATAATCTATATGTGTCAGATTCAACGAACGAAGATTTGGAAATGTTGTGTTGATAATATCGAATCGTGAGAAGAAAATCGAGTTTTTTATAGACCTCACCATATTGTCTTCATCGAACAATGTTAAAGATACAATTTGAGAAGTTAAATAAAGCAGTTGAGTACAGATAGAATCAAACTGACCTTTGCTTATTAATGTATTCACATAGTTAAAGTTTAGTTGAAAACGAGGATAAGTCAGAGAAATCGATCGAAGCTGTTTATTGACGAAACATACAGATAAAAGGATATCAATTGATGGAATATTGTCTAGAATTTTATGAATTAATTCTACAGGTAATGTTGTGAGATAGTCCGACATAGTTTCTTCTGATCAGATGATTGTTATTCTTCTAATATATATATATATATATGATTAAAAACAATATCCGTCCTGTTCGCTTTATAAAAATATCCGACGAGTGAATTTGTTGTATTTTTTTGCCTATTTGCTTTT